AGAGAGAGAGAGAGAGAGAGAGAGAGAGAGAGAGAGAAACTGAGAGAGAGAAACAGAGAGAGAATAGTTTACGGAGCGGGTTGTTTCAGCACGTGAGACATGTATTTACTAATGTCCTGTCTTGTTGTGCGTATGCGTGAGTGCACCTAACCTTTGTAACGTCTACTGCCATTGTAAACGACCAAAAGACAAATTTCTCACTGCGAGATATTGTCACTGTCATTGTCATTGTCATTGTCATTGTCATTGTCATTGTCATTGTCATGTCATTGTCTCTGTCATTGTCATTGTCATTATCATTTTCATTGTCCTTATTATAGTCACTGTCATTGTCATTGTCATTGTCATTGTCATTGTCTCTACCATTGTCATTGTCATTGTCTCTACCATTGTCATTGTCATTGTCTCTACCATTGTCATTGTCATTGTCTCTACCATTGTCATTGTCATTGTCTCTGTCATTGTCATTGTCATTGTCTCTGTCATTGTCATTGTCATTATCATTGTCACTGAAATGTCCTTGTCATTGTCACTGATATTGTCTTTGTCATTGTCATATCATTATCATTGCCACTGTCACTGTCATTATCGTTGTCACTGTCACTGTCATTATCGTTGTCACTGCCACTGTCAACTTTCCTGTCGTTTCTCCTCCCCAGTGACCTCCTGCCCCGGAACTTCACCGAGGCCCCAAAGATGGGGATATTATTCGTCTACATCTGCGTTCAGTGCGCGGTTGCCATGGTGATCACAATCGTGGTCATGCGCAAACACAGACAGGAAGTCCTGGAAGCGGAACTAGCGATGACGTTGACAGCACCCTCCGGGATGGCGCCACATCCGGATCAGCTCAGACCTGTCAATCAGAACAAAACCATGATTGTTGACGATGGTGTTGAACCCATTCCTTTGAGGACACTGACGCCGAGAAAAGTGACCCCAAACACGACAGCTGAACAAGATCAAGAGCACTACTTCCAGCAGCAGCAGCAGCAGCAGCAGCAGCAGCGGCGGCCAAAGTTGAGAATCAAACGCTTCCTCAGAATGAACTCCTTCGAAGCGTCTGAGCCTAGCTGTTGGGAAAGGAACATTGCCCGCCAAGATTACTTCAGCGCGGCCGCGATAGACAGGATTTGTTTCTGCCTTTTCAGTCTGTTCGGTGTGTTGTTCCATATCATTCTCTTTGAGTGGTGAGCGCTGTCTTAACCCTTCCAGCCTCAGACATTTTGGTGCACTCCCTAACCCCAGTCCCAGCCAATACAGTAGTAGTCCAGAGAAAGAGGCATGTATTCTAAAAAGAGATGTATTACCTTCGTAATGAGCTTTAGATAATAACATATAACAATGTTTAAAGGTAAATGAACTAATAGTATGGAAATTAAAAGTTTAATTAAGTTCGCTAATTTAGAAAATGTACAAATTCAGTGCCCCCCCCCCTGAAACTGAGAAAATACAGTCATGGGATGATGGGAGGTACAAGCACTGTTGAAAATATACACGTATGGGGCTGGAAGGATAGGCTGGTTTGGTTGTTTTTTAATGTTCTGGAGAATCCCAGAGGAATCGTGAGACGCTTCTTTTAGTCTAAAAATAGAGTACTTTTTGTTGAGATGTTTTTGTGGCTCACAAAGTTGGGGGGGGGGGTGGAGTCTTCTGGCATTTATGAAATGGACTGAATTCCACTCTGACCCTCAAAATCAATCACCTCAAGGTCGTGGGGTTGAATCGGGTCGTGTTGTGTCCAAATGGTAGCCTTTGTCCCTCTGTGGAGAAAAAATCGGACTGTTCTAACTCAATTCGATTGAATTCGATTGGCGGTGAGTGCACTGGGTGCCCGTGTAAAGCGTATAGAGGGATCATATTCCGCGTTTTAGAGAAATTTGTTGGTGGGGGGGGGGGGTTATACTTGCAAAAAATCCTTAACTGAGATAAGATTATTGTAAAAATATATTAAAGAGTGAGTGTATAGTGAAGCCCATGTAAAAGGTTTCAGTGTTTCCTTATTGGAGATGTTTGACTTAATCTTATGAGCATTTGTTCAACAAAGAATTTTTCTACAGTTTGTTTTGTTTTGTCTCTTATAGGTTGCTATTCTTTTTTTTTTATTCATCCAATGAAGCCCACTTCGGACGCTAAATGTTAAAAACAATCCAGAAACGACAAATTCAGTTTTTGGGACACCTGAATAGAAATAAGGTTCTTGAACATCTAGCTCTCACTGGCAAAATTGAAGGCAAACGAGGCAGGGGTAGACCCAGAGCAACCTATTTGATGAACTAAACAAATGGGTAACGGAGAAAGATCAGGAAAACGTAGCTTTTTTTTCAGAGCATCCGAGCAAAGGAATGAATGGAGAACCATGATCGCCGATGTCTGTCGCAGATCTGGCACTGGGTGATGATGATGATGATGATGATGATGATGAGGATGATGATGATGATGATGATGATGATGATGATGATGATGATGATGATGATGAATGCCTGCAGTTCTACACATCCTTGTTCGCTTAGTTGGTATCATGCTAGATAACAGAGCAGATGGCCCAAGTTCGAATCCCAGACTGTGTGGGGGTTTTTTTTAGCTCGGGTCGTTTTGTTGCGTTGTCAATGCTCTCAATCTCAACCCATTTGGCACGGTTCTATCGGAGACGGATGTTAAATTCGGAGGTTCCACCTCTTGAATAACCTAATGTGGTTGATAAGTTAGGAGCATGAACCCTATCAGTACGTCGTGTTTTACTATTGTATCCATACAACGGGGGAACTCTGTGCCATCACTTTCCAAAGAAGAAATTTATTCGTTAATCCGATCAGTACGCTTTGCATAGTTGTCTGTCACAATGATTTTTTGAGAAATACTCAACGTTTCAAAGAGATCTTCGCACCAGAAGTATTCTAAAATATGAAGAATACAACCCCGAGGGTACAAAATGACCCCAGGGCGTACGGATAGGGTTAAATTTGGGGTCCCACCTCTTGAATACTCTAATGAGGTTGATAAGCTAGTGGCATTTAACTCCCATACGCTTACTTATTACAATTATTTTTTTCTAAAAGTACTGCTCTTTTGTTGTTATTGTTGTTGTTTTTGGTTGTGTCATGTCGTTGTTGTTGTTGTTGTTGCTGGTGGCAGAGAGACGTTTCTTCCTTCCCGTGCCACACCCAAAAGGGTATA